TACTTCCCAAAAATACGTACATTTTACTTGTGTATGATGATTACTATGTAATAGCACTTACTGAATTCAAGAAGGCTATAAGACATTGGAGAATCCCGATAAAGAAAACATATTGCAAGAACTAAAAAATGATACTTGTCATGGAATAAGTTAATTGATTTTTTATCAAAATTTTGATAAAAGTTTATAAAATTAATAATTTAAAAGTTGATTTAAAAGTTGTGGATTTTGAAGTTTGATCAATTAAAAAGTTGATAAATTTTATCAAACAAAAAGAAATCAAGGTGAAACCCTTGCGATACTGCCTCTAGCTAGTTTTGACTATCTTATCCCATTTATATGCATGTCAATTATCATTAGCAGCTATAAAGGCTTCACTAGAATTTTTCTTTTCTCGTTCTAACATGATTTATTTTTCTTTAAGATTTAAAAGATAAAATTCAATATCACCCATGCGTGTTTGGCGTTGGCCACTGAAGAGACAAATTCATTACTTTTTTGAAAGTTCAAACTTTTTCTCTGGGTGAACTAAATTAGTTTATCACTTCGGCTACTCCTAACTCAAAAACCTTCTCTTCTACCTGTTTTCATTACTGTGAAGTTAATCAGTCAAAATAATGAACGGAGGCAAAATCCCACTTTTCCTGAGTTCTAACATGAGTTTTTAGTAATTACTGAGAATAAATTTATGATTGTCTTGTCTTCAACCTTCACCCCGATCATAAATACTTCCCAAAGAAATAAAAATACAAAAATGAGCATATAAAGTCAAAAAAGAAAGGAAAAGAAAAAGAATATACTGTACTAATAAAACCATTACCTTTAAACAGTGAGATTTACAACCCCTGAAGAGGGAATACAGAAAGAGAACAAGGAAAAAGTTGACGGGTTTAGAATTCTGGTTCTAGCAGAGTGGACTATGAGGAAAGCAGGCATCATGGGCTTCCTATTTATAGCAAAAAATTCCTCCTGGTTCGAACAGTGTTATAACTCCAAATGATCTTCTTTTTCTTGATATAGGAACCCACCATTCATTATCACTATTTGTGGCTCGTGGTGGAGTTGCTTTATTCCCTCAACTACATATTTTTTATTATCTCTATTTAGAGTATGGACACATCTAGGAACTATATGTTAATAGTTGGAGAAATTTTCGAACAATACCCTTAGGTATTTTAATCTTTTTGTACCTTAAATACCAAAGGCTAATAAACTTTTAGTAACATATATACGGAATGTCCAAAACGTATCTGAAAATTCCATTTGCCTTTCCTATGGTTGAAACTTAGTATGTAATACATCAATCCATTTTATATGTCAACAAGAGAGAGAGAGAGAGAGAGAGAGAGAGAGAGAGAGATCCCTAATCATTTATTCCTTGGATGCACTTCAATTCCCCTACCAACACTTTCTCGGTCGAGTCTGTTGCATATGGCTTGCCTAGTGCGGTTTACTTGGCTGACATGATTTGCAGGCTATTACGTCAATTCGAGGGTTTATCCACTGCACACCCGAAGGATAGCGACTGCAGGTTCTCCCGTCATCAAAAAAATTTTAAGCACTTAAAAAGGACACGTTGTTTTATTTAAATTATATTTTCAACACATCAATACATGTAAAATTCTTATCAATGGTCAAAATATGTGTCCACTCAGGTATCACCTTAAACTGCTTCATTTTAAAGCTTGTGATGTTAGAGATAATATATCTATTTATTGAAATTTTATATTCATCAAAGCTAGAGAGCCATCTACTTGGATTCCCCTATTTCGAAATCCACAATTTTAGAAAACCCCAAGTTCCTAAAGTTGCTTGGTAGATGCTTGTTACACTATAAAAATTGGGTTTAAGAGTTCAGGAAATATTCATTCACAAAGGAAAAACAGCAGAGTTGTATCCTGTCCTATCTTGTAGTGTCTGATCTCCTCAATTAACTTCCTGTTGTAAGTCAAGAATGTCTGATCTGCTTGTAATAGGTAGAGTGATTGGAGATGTTGTAGATTCTTTCTCCCCAACAGTTAAAATGTCTGTCACGTACAACTCGAACAAGCATGTGTACAATGGTCTTGAGCTCTTTCCTTCTGCCGTTACCTCTAAACCTAGGGCTGAGGTCCTTGAAGGTGATATGAGATCATTCTTTACACTGGTATTAATTCAGTACTCTTCACTGTAAATTCTCATTCATCTTATGTATTTACGTGTCATCTCTTAGTTTTTCATTCATCCATTTGCAGATTATGACAGACCCTGATGTTCCTGGTCCTAGCGATCCATACCTTAGGGAACATTTGCACTGGTATACTCTGGAATTTTCTTCTCTCAAAATCAGATAAAGGAAAAATTTTGAAAAAACCCTGCTTACTACATGACCAATAAAATGTACATGCAGTACTAAAAACAAAGTCGGCCTTTTACATGATTGGTAATATTATTGTGGACTAGAAAATACCAAACAACATTTAAAAAACAGCTATATACATCGATGTTGTAGTTCATGATTCTTGAATTGCCTCATTTAAAAAGCTTTGATTATTAGAGATGAACTATTTATTCAGTCAAATTTGGGGCCAGATTTTTTTCAAAGAATGCTTCCCACAATGCACGGTTTTTATTAATGGAATACGATGAGAATGGAAGATAAGAGTCATGTCGTGTCATATTATCTAAAAGTCTAGACCATTAGAGAGTATAATTATTTATTCAACAGTTGTCTTCAACAATGGTATCAAGGCATCATTTGGCGGCTCCACTCAATTAATATGAGAATTTTTGAACCACACCTCAAAACCTTAAATTATTAAAGAGAAGAGAAGTTTTTTTATGCTTTTATTTATAAAGAAACCATAAACATATATATATCTGCAGGCATCTAGTAAAAAAAATGTATCTTGCTTGCACCTGAAAGAGAAATGTTGTATAAAAAGTTGAAATAAATAAATAAATTGTACTGTCTTTAACTTTTCCAACTTTTAAATGATCAGACGATCTTGCAACTTACTTTTCTCAACTCATAACCTTTACTTGATATGTATTGGACATCCTACAGGATAGTTACAAATATTCCAGGCACAACAGATTCCTCATTTGGTATGGAATTAATCTATATTAAATACAGATAAAGATTTAAATTTAATGAAAATTGCAAAATTAATAACCACTTCTTTTTTATAACAATATGTGCTGCAGGAAAAGAAGTGGTGAGCTATGAACTGCCAAGGCCAAACATAGGGATCCACAGGTTTGTTTTTCTGCTCTTCAAGCAGAAAAAACGGCAGGCAGTGAACCCACCTCTTTCAAGGGATCGATTCAGCAGCAGACAATTTGCAGAAGAAAATGAACTGGGCCTTCCTGTGGCTGCCGTGTTCTTCAATTGCCAGAGGGAAACTGCTGCTCGAAGGCGCTGAAAATTAGTCATCTGTGCATCTACTACTTGTTTTTTTTTAACTTTTATGCTGCAAATGTGTAATAATATTTATCTTGGAACTGTGGAATGTATTTTCAGGAGCAAGCCAACTAGTTGGGTTCTTGGCAAATGGGTCGAGCGGCTCGCCCGCTCGGCTCGCGAAAATGGAGCTCGTGGGCAGCTCGGGCTCGTAAAAACACGAGCCCGAGCGGGCCGGTTCTCGGCTCGCCAAATAAACAAGCTGCTCGCAGCTCGTTTTATAAAGTGACCGAAATGGTCACTAATTTTAAAAAGTGACCGTTTCGGTCCCTGAATTGAATTTTTTTTGTTTTAAATTGTGACTGTTTTGGTCCTTTAAATTTTTTTCCTTCTATAAATAGTGGCATTTAGCTACAAAATTTTCTACAATTTACCCTCAACTCTCAATTATCTTTCTCGCAACTCTCTTGTGTTGTGTTGATAGTTGTGCAATTTTTATATACAATTTATACAATATCCAATTCTCATTTCTCAGTTCTCACTATATTTATTGAAATTTCATCCAATTTTCATTTCTCACTACATTTATACAATTATTCTTTTATTAGTTATTACTTATTATAATTAAACAAATGGATCCACGCACATTTGTCGAAAACTTGTTCGGTGTGGGAGGAAACGAATCGCCAATGACACCGCAAAATCAATTTTAGAATCAATTTGAAGGTCTAAATGGCATACCCCTACCTGAAGATATTCCAGATTTGGATCTTCATCATTATGTAAGCGGAAATCCAAATTATCCAATTAATTTGGATGATGTTGACGTTCTCGAAGCGGAACACGATCAAGAAGAAGAGGCTGAATTAAACATTCCTGATGTGAGAAGAAAGCGAAAGGGGAAAAAACAAGCAAAATATGGGAATCACTTTAAGTTGATTTCAACGAAAAAAACCGTCAATGGAGTTCAAGGATCCAAAGCAGTATGTAAATACTGCCAACAAAGATTGGCATGGCAAAGAGGAAGGATATATGGGAAGAGATTAATAAAAGAGCATATATAACTGCAACTGCACATTATATAGACTCACTTTGGTGCATGCATAAAAAAAATTATTGCTTTTAGAATTATTGAATTTCCTCACAACGCTAATAATATATTTAATATTATTATTAGTATTGTTAGAGAATATCATTGCGAAGGTAAAATTCGTTCATTTACTTTCGATAATACTAGTGTTAATAAAGTAGTTGCCGAGAAATTGCATAGAGTACTGTAACCTGATTTTGGTGGGTATTTGTTTCATATTCGTTGTGTATGTCAAATTTTGAATTTAATTGTCCAAGATGATTTAAAACATATAAATGATGAATTTCAAAATATTAGGAACGCACTAATATATATCACAATCTCCCCAAGTAGAAAACAAGCATTTGAGGATTATTGTATCGAAATAGGAGTGCAAAATGCTAAAACATTTGTTAGTGACGTAGGTCATAGGTTGAACTCTATTTACTTGTTATTAAAGTCATGTGAATGTTTTGATTATTTAATAACTGACTTTTATAACAATAGACATGTTAGAAGTGATGACGATAGTATGTTGATTGAACGTGATTGACAAATAGTTTTGAAAGTTAAAAGATTTTTGACATCTTTTTATGAAACCATTAAGATTTTATCGGACGTTTACTATCCCACCAACTGTATGATGCTTGAACGTCTTTATATAATTGCAAGAACATTTCATAAATACAGAAATGACCCTGATTTTGGTGAAGTTATAATTGCTATGGAATTAAAATTTAGAAAATATTGGGAAGATTTGCCTATGTTATTTCCTTTAACATGCGTGATGGGTCCCCGATATAATTTATCGGGAACTAAATATATAATTGATCAAATTTCAAATGCTTTAACATTACATATCACATATAGAAATTTAGAGCAAACATTATGTGAAATGTATGAATTAAATGCGAACCGAATGGGGTACCAATATTAGTCGGGTACCATCTGCACCTACTCCTTCCATTGAAATTGAAGAAGAAGATGCGGAAATATTTACTTTATTTCAAGGCATTAATTCGTATAGATATGATTTATCTGCAATGTGTTCATCTACTACCATTGCCATGTCGTCACCATCTGTATCTCATTCTCATCAAACATCTACGGACTCAAGTCACAATGCATTGCCTGCTGAATTAATTGATTATTTCTACCGGAATATGCCAACAGATAAAACAATTAAAAAAAGTTCAGACGAAGTAATTGAATTCTAGCGAAGGTATGAACGACGTTAACCAGTTATATCTGCGATTGCAAAAAATCTGCTGACACCTCCGATTAGCACTGTTGCTTCGAAGTCTGCTTTTAGTGCTAGTAAAAGAGTTTTAAGCGAGATCAGGAGCCGACTGAATGAAGATATTTTAGAAGCGTTAATGTGCGTTAAAAATTGGCAGGACGCTCATTTTCGACTACAAGATAAATATGCCGTAATTGCATGTCGTCAAATAAGTGATATTTGATTTAATTATATTGATGAAACTTTTCTTTTCTTATCGTTACTTTTAATTTTCTTTAAAAAATTGTACACGCTACAAAAAAATTGTCCGTGTACAATTTTTAACTTCGCCTACTGAAAATTTAAGTAGCTGGTACCAAGTCCGAATAAAGGAGGAGGGTTTATATTTTATCCATTTTAAAAAAGAAAAATAAAAAAATAAAGATTTCATTTTTATTTTTTTCTATCTCTTTTAGTTAAAAATAAAAAATAAAAAAAAAATTCTTTCCACCAATTTAATTAAATTTTTGTTAGTACTTGGTACTATTTCTACTATATATCTACATTTAAAATTTTTTTTATCAAACAACGCTGTGCGTACCTTTGCATATAATTTTCGAAGTCAATCCCTTCTGAAAATTGAAAGGGTAATCGAATGATTGTCTTTTCAATTGTCAGAAATCTTTCACTTCGAAAATTATATATAATTTTCGAAGTGAAGACTTCTGACAATTGAAAGAGCATTCGATTACTCTTTCAATTTTTAAAAGGAATTTACTTCGAAAATTATATGTAGGGGGACGCGCAGCATTGCTTGAAAAATAATTTTTAATACGTTTTAAATTTTCTTTAAAAAATTATATACCGACAAACAAACAACACAATTTTTAACTCCGCCTACTCTAAATTTAAGTAGCTGATCCCAAACTCGGATAAAGGAGGAGGGTTTAAATTTTTTTACCTAGTTTTTTATATATAATTCATGATTTAAAAATTAAAATTACTTTTTTATTTTCCAATTTATCTATTTGTTTCAAAAAAAATGGAAAAACGACGTCTACTCACGAGCCAAGCTCGCCCATATTTGGACGAGTCGAGCTCGTGCTTTCATGGATCGAGCTGAGCAAACCTAGGTTCTTCAGATAGAGAGGTCCCCATACTTTAGTACAAATGACTTACGGAGTTATGGTTGTGCTCTTTCATGTGGTTCGAGATGTATAATAATAATAATAATAATAATGAAGAGGTCCCCATACTTTAGTACAAATGACTTACGGAGTTATGGTTGTGCTCTTTCATGTGGTTCGAGATGTATAATAATAATAATAATAATAATAATAATAATAATAATAATAATAAACTAATTGTTTTAATTTAGTCAAATGGGGTTATTCCTATTCTTATAGATTTAGTCCTTGCTTGGTGTTGTTTTAAGAAGTTGACAAAAATTTAAGTCGAAATTATAATTAATTTTAACCATTTATTTTGCCCTTGTTTGGGCTCTATTTTAATGGAAATCTGAAAAAGAAAAAAAAAAAAAAAGAAGTTTAAAATAGTGATTTTTTGAAAAATGTGTGATAAAAAAATAAAGAAATTTTTTTTCAATTTACATATAATATTATTTTATGTGAGAATGTGTGGTTAAAAATGAGTTGAAAAATGACTTTAAAAAAAAAAAAAAAAAGTTGCCAACATAAGTTAGTGTGATTCACAATTTTTATTAACTTTTTATTCATACATTTTAATAATTTATTTATCAAAATAAATTAAAAATATGATTTTAACTCTACGAAACAAAGGCGTACTCTAGAAGTCTAAAATCACCTTAAACTAATATTTTTTACACTAAAAAATTGTTATTTTAGATGGGTTATTTATTTATTGATTGATGAATGAATAAGTTATCAATTTTTCGGCGATGAATAATTTATTAAATAAAAATATTATATATGTTGGAAAAATATGTATGAGACATTTTTTTTAATAAATTTGTTTTCTTAATTTATTTAATTGATTTTCATATCGAAATAAGTGTTGGCATAATTGTAATTGGTGAAATCTGTGAGTTAGTATAGATCTCGCTGAGTCAATTTGCTCACCACTATGTTGACTTAAGAGATCAACTCAGTCAAAATTTCTACTTTTCGAGTTTAAAATTGTTTCAGTATTCTCTCTGTTATGAAAACTCAATTTCATGGTAATAATTAATATTTTCTAATATCCTCGTAATTGTATTTGAGAAAAAGACTTTATTGAATCAGATTTAGATCGAACTTCCCTTATCGGTTTCCTCCATCGATCAAAGGTATTTATGAGCTTCCTTGTGGTCCTACTCCTAATGGTAGATTCTTACATATTTTTTGCAAGTTACTTTGGTAAGTCATGAGCTGTGCTACATGAGCAGGGCCATGTAGCCCATGTTCAAACAGGGGAACGATGTGATATCCGCCCAGCCATGTTTAAATAGCTTTATCCGTAAGTCATTGTTTCCTTAGGTTTCTTTTATTTAAAAGAGGACTCTCGAAGATCAAAGCATAAATATTTGTTTCATGACACGTGAACACACGAGTGACCCTTTTCATGACTGGCGTAACATTCAGGTGAACCTTAATATTTTGTGTGCAACATTAGCCCCCCAAAATCCAAGTTTCATATTTATATGAAATGAATGATTTTTTATGTTTCTTTGCCTCTAGTATAGAGAGCTTCAAACTATAAAATTTTATCTTGTTTATTGTACTACTACTCTTTTTTCTCCCTAGTATTGCACAACGCAGAGATCAAAGTATAATAGATTGACTTTTATTGATTCCAAAACATTTATGTTGGATGGAGTCTAAAGCT